AGGAAACTGGAGATTTGGATAGGCTAACTTTTCAAGGACAGTCACAGAGCACTTGGAAATCTTTTCTTTTGCACATTGGGAAACTCTTTAATTTATTGACAAGCTTCTCTTTCTAGAATTAAAGTGTTAGATCTGAATTCAAAAGACTAAGTCATACAAGGTGTGAATGACCCACCCTACCCCCCATTCCCCAGCTTTTGCCTGACAAACTCCCTCCCTTCTCCCCTCCTCTGGGCAGGCACAGCACTCAGGGCTGAGAGTGGACAATGCTTCTGGCTCCAGGCATGTTTGTAGACATCGCGCTTCCCTCAGGGCCACCAGGGAGCATGAGTGAGTTGTATTAACAAGTGGTATCTGGATTTGATTCCGTTTTACACGGATCCTGTTGTTTATGAATGAACCTAACTTGGAACCTCAGCTATTTGACAAACAGACCCTCCCTTTGGGTTTGCCATGCTCCAGCAAGCTAAGGACTATGGGTTCTTGTTCCTTGCAACTGAGACTATGTTACCAACCAGGAGGAACTGGGGAAAGTACAGGATCAGTCCTTAAATTGGATGCACCTGTCTGCAATCAGAAAGCAGTTCTTCTCAGGGCCCTAGAACCCATGCATGCATTTGTCTGCAGATGGGATAAAGACTGGAGATGGAGCGGGAGTCTCTATTCTTTCTAGTTGAGGAATGCTTGAGTTGTTGTACTTTTAATTCCACCCAAAATGTAAAATATGAAATCAGATGTACACTTCTGAAAACAGACTGAGGAAGCCATGTTGTGAAACAAATTATAGAGCCCAGGGAATACCCTTGAGAAACAAACCGAACAGCCAGGCCTGAAGACCCGAGGTCATAGATGCTCCTGTGGGCTCCAACTAGGTAGGTTTCAAGTTCTTCCTTGCTGGATAGCTATATGGCCAAAGGACACCTTAGTTAAGCAAATTCACATCAAAGGTTACATGGAAGACCAATCTGCCTTTCAATCAGATGAATAAGCAAGTAAGAATCAGATACAGCATGTCTAGGAAGAGGACCTCGTATGATTGAGTGGACTTTCCCATCTCTCCCTCCCAGATGGTTCCATTGGAGAGCAGTGGGTATAGGATAGTCAGGGTGGCACAGCCAGCCCAATGGAAACCCAAAGTTCTTATAATCACCCTACAGTGTGTCTGAACTATGTGTGGGACATATAGTGCCTAAACCTCAGGAACATCAGAGCTGTATTCACCCCCTTTACCCGTCACTGGCATGAGGTGTTCAGAGAAGGTCCACCCTCCAGACAAAGCCTTCTTTCATCCAGTGGTTACTAGCGCACTGTCTTGAAGAGCCAGGTCAGTCTATATTCCATGGTCAGCACAGCAACAGAGAGCACTCTACATTTGCTTTTGGTAGTTGTTTAGTTTTGTGTTTGCAGCAGGTCTCAGACCATCTGAAGGAATGTATTATCCATGGTGTTAATCTCCACACACCTCTGTGAGGTAGGCAGAGTGAAAAAGATCATGGTGATGCTATGTGAGGAGGAAATGGAGGCCTGTGGAAGGTACGTGACTTACCCAAAGACCCATACCTTAAAAATGGTAGACAAGGAACTCCAGGGAAGGACTTCCCGTCCCATTTCTGACCCTCTGATGCATTGTGCTGTTCACTCTGCCACACTGCTAGGCAGCTGCCACTATGGGCAGGCATCAATCTGGACAACTGGGACAGGTAGTACATTATTCTCCCTTAATCTGGGTGCACCTGCCTGGGAAGGAGTTACAATGAGCTGACAAAGGAATACACTGATGGCTGCAAGTTACTTTACCTTATGAGATTTACAAGGCCAATAGCCATGTCTGGTTTGCCTTGTGTCCTGAGACTTGTGGCAGTGCCTGGCATGGTAAGTATTGTGGAGGGAAGGAAGGAGAAAGGGAGGGATGAGAGGAGACTTTCCTTACATATCACTTCTCTGACCACAGCCTCTGTTTCTCTCACTGGGATCGTCTTCCTTGGCCCTGGTCTTATTTTATTTGTGCTCTCTGTACCTGTGCCAACCCTTTTATGTTAATGCCATAGTCAAGTCACCTTAGGCCACTTCCAATTTCTCATCTCCAATACCTGCACATTTCTATCTGAATGCCTTTTCTCTACCTGCAATCTCCAAGTCCAAAGCTGAAAGTGAAGCTCTTTCCCCAAAACTTTGCTCCATGTTTCATTTTCTAGAAAGTGGCTTTACTATTTCTCTCACCTGACTGAAAACTCAATATATCTCCCACCTTTCACACTCACTCAAGTGCTGCTCTCTTCATTGCTTTGTAGCTTTCCTCTCCATCCTGAGGGCCCAAGCTAGTATTTTGCCAAGCTAGTACCAATCAGTCTTTCTCCTTTGATTCACTTTGCTCCACACCAGTGTGCTCTTACCTCTCCAGTCAAAACCACCCACGACTCCCTACTTCTTGTTACACTGCCATGCAGCACCTCTGGGTGACTGGTGCCTGCACACAGTGCCTGCTCTCTCCAGCTCATCTCTTCATTACCACACCAGGCATGACCTCACCACCACCTCTGTAGGTTATTCTTTCTGTCAAAAATACTTTCTGACATTGACCTTATTCAGATTCTTGCTATCCACACACACTACAATGGCACTGTTCCAAAGGACTGTTAAGTGATCACTCCTGGCCCATTTCCTTCTCATTTTCTGTACTGAACATAAAGTCAATTCACAAGGAGCCCCTGTCTTCCATCAGAGTCCAGCCCTGTTTTCTGAAGACTGCTACATTCTCCCATGTTCTGTTTGTGCCTCTGAAGGAAGAGATACCAACAGACAGAGCAACAGCCCCCACCCCCACCCCCGCCCAATGAATCTCTTTTCCCAGGGTCAGATTTTCTCTGGTGCTAACTCATCAGGCCTAGGCTTTGTCTCATGACCAGAACTTGGATGGTGATTCAAGTCTCCACCAAAGGTTGGAGACTACACCCTCAAAAGCTCAACTCTGAGAAGACAGAAACAATAAGCTATAGCTGGCAGTACAGTCTTTATTCACAGTTCTTTTTACAGCTGCAAAAATATCTTATCAGGTTGTTCCCCTTTGACTTAATTTCACTTTGGTAAAAAAGAATAAACTACCCTAAAATATCATCAGTAACATGAGCTCTGCTTGTACAACCCAGGTTGGTGAGAATAGGCCCTACAAAACCCACGTTTTAGCCTCCATGAAGGTATTTTTCATTCATATTATTTGGTTATGAAAACACAAAACTTTATGCACCCATAGATTTTAAATGGTGTGACAGAACACAGTTTTTGTTTACATTAATGCATTCTATAGCTCCCCCGGTCCCCCCGATTTCTGGAGCAACACAATTGAACACCCAGAAGAGGGAAGGACCCAAATGTACTTAGTATGACACAGACTCACAAATACAGTCAGGTAATCACAAGGTGTACACAATATAAATGCTTTATTGCTAGCACACAGGTTTCTTTTTAAGTAAATTAAAAGAAATAAATCTTCATTTTCACATTCTCTACTGCAGTTCAAAATAACTAGTTGGTTAGTGGTATGTTTGCTTGGACACGCTACAAGAGAAGAACAGGGCGTTCCATGGAAGAGCTCAGAAAGCGCCACGTCAAGGCATCAGCTACTGGGTGCACTGTCGTTTGTTTAGCACCAAGGAGAGAATTGTTTAAAGCATTGTGGATAGACAGAGGTTATAAATAGAAATACATAAGGCTATATATATATATATGGATATATATATGTTGCCCATATTCCACATACTCTAGGTTATGTTTGGTATGTTTAAATAAGTGATCTTCATCTAGCTCAGAGACTGGCTTGGATTTGGCAGTTGGAAAGAAAAGAAGGTAAAGAAGCTAACATTGCCCACACCAAACTGGGGAGCTCACTGGAAAGCAGAAGATGACAGTGAGGCTGAGAGGGAAGAGAACCTGCTTCACCTCCCCCTGCAGGCTGAAGCTCACTTGTTAAGAGGCAAGGATGGTGTGTGGATGAGCCACTGGGCATGACAGAGGAGCTCTGGTGGGGTGTGGCAGCTGTGGCATACTGGAACTCTGCAAATGGAGATGGAAACCCTCAGTCTTGGCCATATTTTCCAAGGTCACAGCCAAAAGATTTTGGGAACATTATTTGGGCATGATGGGCCAGAATCATACCACAGTCCAGCATGGAGATGGCAGGTGCTATGCAGTGAGGGCTGGGGTCCAGAAGAGGATATAGTTCAGACTATAGAAACAATTTGCTTCCTAAGAACGGTCAGTATTGGAAACTGAATGATTTCTGCAAGGCATCTAGCTGTACCAACTTCTTGAGCCTACTTAGATTGTTTTTTTTGGTTGGTTTTGAGGTAAGCTTTGGAAAAGATCTCTTCAATCTATGAAAAACAAAGGCTATAGTTCTTGCCTTGTTTCAGAATAACCACACACACACACACACACACACACACACACACACACACACACCTGTGCAAGCTCAGAAGCTGTGAACTACACATGCCAACCTTTGATCTCTACCATAGTCATCTTCTTTCACTCGTGCTATTTATTGGGTCAGGAATATCCTAAGTTCTTACTACTTAGAACATGAGCAGTATAGCAGCTCCTGGCAGTTTGAGTCTGGTCTGGCTCTAACTAAAACCATTGCATGTTTTGCTTTGAAGAAATGGATAACATGAAATGGTAATTTGGCTGCAAAACCTTGGAAAATTGTTCCCAGCCCAAACATCTGCCCCAAATGAGCTCAACTGAGGTCAGGGGTGGTGAGTGGGGAGAAACTAAAAGGAGGAAAATGAAGATAGCACAAAAGCCACCTTTCCTCTTGGGGAAAGTTCTCTGTGACAAAAGCATCAACTAATGCAGCTCTGTGCTCCAAAAAGAGCCACTGGATATACCTGCAGGTTCTCCTCCTCTCTCCCCGACAAAATTTGATATCATTAAAGTGAACTCTTCCAGAGTTCCCAGAAACCTTCCCAGCTGATTTGCTCCAGTCGTGCAGCAACCTGCCACTATGTGTCATCATTTCAATCTTTAAAGATAGACTCAAATTCATGTTCTTGAGAGCTGGACCCTACAGAGAAAGCAGAGGAAGTCATGCAAGCAGCTTCCACCTTCCTCCTTGGCCTTCTTAAGAGTTCTTCTGGGGGATTTTCACAGTCACAGTCTTCACTTCTGAGTATTCTCGCAAGCCAAACTCTCCCCTGAAATGCAGAAATGGGCAGAGTCAGAGACACTAGAGGCCCAGACAGCTACACCTGAGTGGAGGAGGGAGTCTTGGGAAAGGTGAAGTTGATGCACCCAGCAGGTCCCGAAGTTTTCACATAAAAATTCCTAGTGGATGGACAGCCTGGCCTCCCTTGGAGCAGCAGGAAAAGCGGTCATGTATGAGCAGTCACTCTTTCGTGAAGTTTAAGGGCAACTTGTCTTCATACTGTACAAAAAGCAACAGTTCCCAACTATGCCAAGAGCCAGGCCACAGGCACAGAGATGTCCTACTGTGCTCCTGGATTGACCACCATGGCATCAGGGAGCCAGGCCCAGTTCTGCAAATGCCTGTCATGCTTCCACCCATAGACAGCATGCCATCCTCCTCCAGAACCCTGCTTCTGTCCTGCAGACCTGTGATGTCTCTATTGTGATAGCCTGACTAGAGCTGATCACTGCAATGGAGAAAAAAAGGCTGAGTCCAAGCCAAGCTTCTCTCTTGTTATCTAAATTCCCTTTCATTATTCCTGAGACTTCATAAATGGGAATGGATACCTATGGGCCTCCCCTGGAAAAGAAGAGACATCTATACCACCTCAAAACCATGGTCCTGTGTAAGGAGTCTCCACAGCCCACAAAGTCACGGGGAAGATTTGGGAAATAGTAACTGACTGAAAAGAATCAGGAACATCTAGTAAGCTTTCTCCACAAGATTCTTCTCTGGCCACTTTTCCCCTGGGATCTTGGTCATGGGTTAAGGACAGTCATTCATTAATTCAACAAACATTTACTGAGCTATTACTATGGGCTGGCATTGAGCTGAACTCAGGGCAAGAGAAAGTAAATTAGCCCTAGTCTCTCAGATGGCTGGAATCAAGAGGGAGGGCAGGAGTGAGGACACTTCTCTTGGGGGTGACAGGAGAGGTCCTCTAGACACTCTCCAGAGGCAAGGGAGCTGTCAGGTGGCAAAGCCTCTCTTCTCTATTCCTTCCTCATTTACATTTCATTATTCTATTTCATTGTAAAATCAAGCATGTTGTAATTTTCCTATTTAAGCTTTTTTCTTCTCCCTTTTTAAAAGTCCTCTTCAGTAAGGTTTCTCCTTATAGCCTCAGGAGACACTCCAACCTGTGCTCTGGAGCTCTTGCTCACACTTCCACCAATGTCACCACACTGGAGGAGCACTAGAGCACCTAATGTTGTGTTCTGCCTTCCATCAAATATCATAGATAGCCACAGTGTCAGAACAGAACAGGCACCCAATGACTATGGACAGATGAGTGAGGACAGGAAAGAAGGTCTTCACCCTATTGCCTTTTCCCCAGGCCCACCGTGCTGCTTCACTGTCTCCACCAGGAAAAACTAAAAGAACACTCAGAGATGCTTCTAAGTATGAAAGGATTAAGAAAGGCTGTCTCCTACATGAATCAGTTACAAAAAAGGACAGGGCTCCTGTGATCTGGGCTGCACAAGTGAGACCTAAGAAACTGGATCATCCTGGTTGCCATAAGGGTGCCACACATGGCTCCAGTCACCTTGTCAGTGGTTCCTCTGAGCACCATAGGCACCTGAGTTGATAAGCCCCGCCCCCAGGACATCAGGGGGCAGCTGCAACTGGACAATCATACGTTTGTCTGTTAACAAACCTGTTACTTCAGAAGTGTGGCAGAAGTTTTTCTAAGTCCCAGTGAGTGTCACTGGCCTCTCTCCTGTCTCTGCTAGAGCCAGGAGAGCTGTTGTCCCTTGTATCTTTGCTACTTGCCTCCAGTGCTCCCCACTTCCTTTCCAGCCAGAAACCTAATAGATATGGATCAGGTTCTCGCGGGTGTTAGTATCCCTTCAGCTTGTCCAGTCTTCCTGCACTCCAGATACGTCTTCTTGACTTTCACTTGGCCTTAACTTTCTGCTTCCACTCTTCAACAGGCACTCTGTTTGATATTTCATTTCCTGCCTCTGTGGCTGTCTTCTCCCTGCCTCTGAAGTGCTAGGACAGTCACTTGCTCTGGGAACACTGCTCACTGTTCATTACAGATCATTCACAGAGTGAATCACCAGCATAAAAATACTGCATCAACGGAGCCTAATCTTACGCTAACCCTGGTTCCTGATCAGAAGCAGTCCTGCCAGGATTCAGGCTTGTGACATTATGCAGGTCTTGTCTCTTCCCATCAGAAATGTCCTCTTGCTAGAAAGATGGCTCAGGAGTTTGAATATGTCAGAACCACATATAACAGCAGCCCTAGAAGCTGAAGAACAACTTTTCTGTACTTGTCTTTTTATTTGGCAGTACTGGAGTTTGAACTAAGGACCTCAAGTTTCTAGGCAGACACTCTACCACTTGAGCCACACACCCCTCTTTTCTTGATCTGGTTATTTTTCAAATAGGGTTCTCATACTTTTTGCCCATGCTGAACTGAGAAGAGCCAACCCAGATTGCTCCTCATCACATGGTGTCCTCATTAACTCCATCTGGGCTGAGTGTCTTTATTACCAGCTCAGCTCGGGCTCTCCCTCTGGAGTTTCTCCTGCCTGAGGGCAATTCTGAATATGCCTCCTCTTCAAGGACAGCCTGTGCCTCCTATTGGAAGTGAGGTCACTGTTTCCTCATTTCCTGGCTGTGCACGCCACTTGGGGCAAACCTTGAACCATACTTTCCTCCCACTTGGATCCTGAACTAGGCTTTAAGAATGTGAGGGAGACTACTGAATCAGAAGCCTCGTGGTATGGTTGCTTTCAAATGTGACCACTGGGTCCCACAGTGTTTTGTGTGTGAAAGCAGTGGGACATCCTGCTGGCGTGGGGGTGCTCCTCACCAGGTCCAGCGCAGGGATGGATGTTCGGTCTGCTCCAAGACAAAGGAGTGAGCTGAATGCTGCTGTCAAAAGGACTGAGAGGTCTTAGAGCAGTGTGAGTGAGGCAGCATGGAGCAGAAAGAGCCCTGGAGCCGGGGTCATCAGACAGGAATACCAAGGGCTCTAGCATTAGTTGGCTGAAGGACTCAATCAAGTCACCCCCATCCACTTGGTGCTCAGTCATCTCTCTGGCAGCATTTCAGAAGGTCTGGGGAGGGACCCAGAGAGAATGTTAGGTGTCATTTGGCCCAGGTGTCATTTGGAGACTCTGACAGTCCTGAAGTTTGGATTCTTCAGCAATTTTCCACCTCACACTATGGTCTTTCTCTCAAACCTATTTACTCCAGTTAAATTCCATGGCACATACAGCTCCCTGGAGAACCTGGGAGATCCCCACCGCTCACAGGAGGCAAGTGTCTCATTACTGATGTCTCCATGACCTCTTAATGAGGTGGCTGTCATAGCTGCACCCTGCCTCTGGGCAATGAGACATGGACCTGCTGTTTCTCGGCAGACGAGGCTATAATCCCTAAAATAAACCAAATGTGGCCAGATGAGGTACGGAAACAGAGTTGGATTTTGGTGACTCCAGTAAGCCACTGTAGGAATCACTCAGATTCACCCATAAAACAAATGAGGATTTAATGCTTAGGTTCTGTATTTCCCTGCACTTGCTGTGGCATTTCTCAGAATGAGGTCCCCATACCACCGGCATTTGAATCATTCCAGAAGTGTGTTAAAAAGAAGATCCTGGGCCCTCACCCAGATTGACTAAATCTCTGTGAGTAGGTCCCCAGATAAGCATGCTCATCCACCCATCCCCCAGTCTGCAGGTGAATTCTTTCTGTGCACATGCATGCTACGTGTGCATATGCTTGTGTGCACAAACACACACATGATGTACATGCTTTTGGAGGGTCCCAACATTCTGCTCATTTCCAAAGCCTGTGTCTTTAGTTTCTAAATCACTAAGGTTCCTGGCTTTCTTTCCATCACCCTGGTTTGTGACACATATTTTATAGCTATAACTTTACCACCTTTCATCTTGGGGTTGCTTACATGAGGAAAGAAGCACGTGGAACTGGCTGGGTAGGCAGCACTGAGGGGCTTGGCTTATGTCTCTGACCCCGGGGAGGAAAGGCCACGATTAATCTGCATAGGGCAGCTTGCCCCACAGCTCAGGGAGAACCCAAGGGTGGTCACCCTTCTTGGAGCTTGCTTCTGGAAAGGACACTTCCCCTCTCTGCTCCTCTTGGGGGTTGGCATGGAGGCTGCAGGCCATGAGATGAGCAGTTCTGTCCAGATGGAAGAATAAGTGGAGTTTCTGAAGATGTGTCAAATGGGATGAAATGGTGGCATCTGACAGAGCAGATTTTTTAATTTAAAACATTTCCTACCACTCTTGGTCATTTAGGAAGAAGAAAACATGTTTGAGGGTTAAATAGAGACAAAGAACTGGGTCATTTAGACACCATGAGATGGGTCTCATCAAAGAGCACTGTTTCATCAATATGTCTAACTGCAATGGGAAAGCCACACAACCATAATGCCTGTAAGAAAGCAGAGACAGGTCCAGTGGCTAATGCCTAAAATCCCAGCTACTTAGGAAGTGGAGATTGGGATGATCACAGTTCAAGGCCAGCCAGGGCAAAAAATTTTCAACCAGTAAACTGGATAAGGTGGTTTATGTTCTGTAATCCCAGTCTGTACTCAGGAGGCATGAGTAGAAGGATCTCAGTTCAGCATGGGCAAAAAGTATGAGAACCCTATTTGAAAAATAACCAGATCAAGAAAAGAGGGGTGTGTGGCTCAAGTGGTAGAGTGTCTGCCTAGAAACTTGAGGTCCTTAGTTCAAACTCCAGTACTGCCAAATAAAAAGACAAGTACAGAAAAGTTGTTCTTTAGCTTCTAGGGCTGCTGTTATATGTGGTTCTGACATATTCAAACTCCTGAGCCATCTTTCTAGCAAGAGGACATTTCTGATGGGAAGAGACAAGACCTGCATAATGTCACAAGCCTGAATCCTGGCAGGACTGCTTCTGATCAGGAACCAGGGTTAGCGTAAGATTAGGCTCCGTTGATGCAGTATTTTTATGCTGGTGATTCACTCTGTGAATGATCTGTAATGAACAGTGAGCAGTGTTCCCAGAGCAAGTGACTGTCCTAGCACTTCAGAGGCAGGGAGAAGACAGCCACAGAGGCAGGAAATGAAATATCAAACAGAGTGCCTGTTGAAGAGTGGAAGCAGAAAGTTAAGGCCAAGTGAAAGTCAAGAAGACGTATCTGGAGTGCAGGAAGACTGGACAAGCTGAAGGGATACTAACACCCGCGAGAACCTGATCCATATCTATTAGGTTTCTGCCTGGAAAGGAAGTGGGGAGCACTGGAGGCAAGTAGCAAAGATACAAGGGACAACAGCTCTCCTGGCTCTAGCAGAGACAGGAGAGAGGCCAGTGACACTCTCTGGGACTTAGGAAAACTTCTGCCACACTTCTGAAGTAACAGGTTTGTTAAGAAAAAAAGTGTCACCTACCGAAGACAGCCAAGCCTTCTGAAGGCACTGCTGGGTGTCTGTGTACTCAATCCTGACTTTTGAACTGACAGCAACCCTCTAAGGCAGTAATTATTCCTGTTTAGTAGATGCGACACTGATGCTTCAGAGGATGGGGAGTTTGCCCAAGGTTAAGTAGGCAGTAAAGGGAAGAGCCAGATTCACATCTAAGCAGTGTGATTCTCAAAACTGTTCTTAGGATCGAAGCTATCCTGACTTAAGAGTGTGATGGTCAGGGATTAAATCCTGTCTCACAGACACCATACTAACTTCTCTTATAATGCCTCTGCTTCTCCGCTTACTCTCCCCCAACCCCCTGCCACCTTGCATTTCCTTCCAACCTTGGAAAAATATCCCGCTCTCTCCACTACTCAGTGTTCCTCTCCTCCATAGGCAAATTCAAATCCCTGGACAGTCCCCACACTTCACCAGCTCACAATCATCTCCCTCATCCCTGAGCTCCACTACCACTTCAGACTTTTATGGGGTTTTTTGATCCTTTTTCCTGTTTTATATTTCAATTATCCCACAATACTATAAGTGCCTCAATGAGCTGTATCTCCCTCACAGACTCAACACTGTGCTTTGTGCATAGTTTATGTAACAATACTTGTTACTAGATTATTTGTGAGCTAAGCACTTGTGCCAAGAAAAAAAAAAAGCCTTCAGTAGTGTCAAAAGGAATAAGCAGGAAAGATGTTTTCTTTTTGGAAACTAGGAATCAGCTCCTTTCAACATGAGGGAAAACGGTTTAAGATAGGGCTGTGTGTCAGTTCAGGCTACCATTCATCCTCCGAATGTTACTCAGGAACTCATTTGTACTGAAGTTTGAACTACAATACCCCTCAAGTCTGGTTTGCTTCTGCGACAGTCCTATTTTTTCAGACCCGTAGCATCTCAGGCAGATTCTGAGATGCTGTCCCTGGAGTCCCTGTGCTGGGTCCCGTGCTTCCTCGGCTGGATTGCATGGGAATTAAGAGCATCAGGAGCCACCGAGACCCAGGTTTGGATCTCAGATCTGCATCTTACTGGACGTGTGACTTGGGCAAACTTGTTAACTACTCCTTAGCTCCTTATATGGGCCACATTAATGTAGGAATAAGTATACCTGCTGCATAACAATTATCACAAAAATCAAACGAGACATCATGATAAAAGCTAGCATAAAGGCAGATAAATAGAAGCCAATTAATTAGTGACAGTTGTTATGGCCTGAATGTATGAGTCACCCCAAAATTCTTATGTTGGAACCTAATACCCAAAGTGATAGTATTAAGAAGCGGGGCCTGTGGTTAGTGATTAATCCATGAAGACTTCACCCTAATGAATGGGACTAGAGCACTTATAAAAGGGGCTATGCAAAGGTATAGGTTAGGAGGACTGCAGTCCAAGGCCAGCCCAGGCAAAAAGTTGTGAGACCCTATCTAAAGAATAACTAAAGCAAAAGAAGGATGGGTGCATGGTCTAAATGGTAAAGTACCTGCCTAGCAAGCATGAGGCCCTGAGTTCAAACTCCAGTACTGCCAAAAAAGAGGAGGGGGGGCTTGAGATGTGACTTACACCAACCTTTCACTGTGTCTTTAATTTAAAGTTCCCTGCACCAATCCTACACCCTAAACTTGCAGCCCCAAGCTCAGAGAACCTGCAGGAACTGAGCAAGAGGACTGGGTGGGTGCAACCAGCATTTAGTCCCCAAAGAAACAGGAGTGGAGGGAAGAGGACTAACTACAGAGCTCACTGCTCCAATTTTGTTATGGGGGGAAGAAAACAAGCAAGAAATCCAAGTTTTATGTAAAGCCCTCTCATTTTAGAGGGTCAGCTGAAGATTTTCAAATGTTGTGAAGGCCAAATGCAATGTTTCTTTCTGGAAGACTTGGCCCCTGGGCTGTCAGCTGGTGAGTGCCTGCTCCTAAAACCTGAAATGTTAGTTTCTCTGTGAAGTCTTCTCTGACCTCACCAGACAACATCAAGTGGATTTTCCTCTGAATGTCTGACATATTACTATAATAGCTCTTATGAAATGGAATTAGAGCACACTAACTTTTTTTCTGTCCCTCTTAGCATAAGGGGCTTATATCTTACCCATTTTTGTACCATTGATACTTAACTTATAGTAGTATGCATGCAACAAAACATTAGTTAATGAATGAGGGAGTTTAACAGAATTAAACTATTTGTAAGGGCCCTTCTGGCCTGAGCAACCTTTACACTTACATTTCTCTCCCATTTCCAGACATCTTAAACCCCCCAAAGGGGCTCTGGGCATTTAAGGCATTGTAACAATTGATCCTGAAAGAAGAAGACATAGTACTGTAAGGTAGCATGAATTCTATCTGCACAGAGAAAATCTCATCGGCATATTTCTTTCTAAAACAATTTTTTGCTTCTTTTTTCCAGACCAAAAAAATTATAATTTAAAATTTGCTTTAATTTCTTGATTTAGCCAGCAAGAAGTACATCCCTTCTCAGGCTGGGGTCAGATTGCCTTTGGCCTTTCCCATCTTTCTACCTGGGCCCCTGAGAATTATAAGGCCCTGGGACAGTTTGGATGTGGTTCGCTCCCCAACGGCTCACAGGCTTTTTCCCAGCATGGTGATGTTGGGAGATGGTGTGGAGCTTTTAAGACGTAGGGCCCACTAGGAGGTCCTTCGGTCACTGGGGATGCTGTCCTCAGAAGAGCAAGAGCGTTAAAGCAGCTCTTGTGGGACCCCTAGGCTCTTGTAAGAGTAAGCTGTTCTAAGAGCAACCCTAAGCCCCGAGTTCTTCTCTTGGCTTCCTGTTTGGTGATGTGACCTGTGCTTCTATTCTGCCACGTGCCACGAGGTGACACATGCAACAGGGACCCTCGCCAGAGTCTACGCCATATTGTGTAGACTTTCAACCTCCAGAACGGCAAGTTAAATAAACCTTTTCAAAGAATAAAGTTAGCTGGCCTCATATATTTCATTAGAGTGATGAAATATGAACAAATTCAGGCCTCTGTACCACTAGTAGAACTAATTAGGGCTAGAACAACGAGATTGCCTCTGATCTTACCAAACGGTCCCAGCTTGCATTGCAGAAGACACTGTGAGGGCCTTGTTGATGTCATTAGTAAAGACAGCTGCTACAAGTCCAAAGTCTGAGTTGTTGGCTCTTTCAATAACTTCATCCATTGTCTTAAATCTCAGAATTTCCTGAACAGGACCAAAAATCTGCAATAGAACAGTCCAACTCAATGTGGCAGTTGTGTCTTTTTCCTATTTGAAGGCATGTTTACTCTGCCTTGACTATCTAAATGACATTTAAGCTTAGCAGCACAAAACTGTAGAGTATCTCAGTTTCCTAGAATAAGATTATCTGAGTCTATCCACAAAGTGTTTAACACCCTGCTCTCCCCTCCTCTCTGACGCCAATCAGTCCCACTGTGTGTACTAGGAGTGTGTTCTTTAGGTGAGAAGAGAAGGTAGCCATCTCCCAAACACTGCTCCAGAACTGAGAACTGCTGACCTGGATTGCTGTCTGACCTGACCTGGTTCCTTGCCTGCCTGGACTTGAGGATTCCTGTACATTTTCTCTTTCCTAGTTATCATCCTAGACCCACATGGGTGAAGTGAACTGAGGACAGTGTATTGCTGAGGCCAAAGACTGGCTGTTATGACTGTCTAACAGTTACATACCATGTCCCCTGGCCTTCACCTACCTTGCTTGCCTTTAACTTTTTTCTCCCAACTGGGATTTTCCTAGCCATGTTTATTGCTATTGTGGAATGTAGGTATGTAAAATACAAAAGCTGAAACTCTAATACTGCCTCCTACAAAAGCTCTGGAAACCACCCCAAGAAGGATGTGGCTTCTGTAAGAACATGTAGTCCATACCTCCTCCTTGGCAATCCGCATGTCATCAGTGACGTTGGAGAACACTGTGGGCTCGATGAAAAACCCCTTTCTGCCCAGTCCTTTGCCTCCACATTCCAGCTTAGCACCCTCAGCCACACCGCTCTGGATGAGTTCCAAGATTTTGTTGTACTGTTTCTTATCAATCTACAGGACAAATCATCCAGTGACTCTAAAGTGAAGCCTTCTATGAAAATGTAAACAAGGTACTATGATTGCTTGAAAATTTCATTATATCCAGTCAACTCTGATGAAACTGTGTTATTTACCAATTTTTGACCTATGAAAATTAGAAATTTTGTGTGGTTCAACTTAATATTTGGATGATCCCAAGGATGGAGTGAGCTTTCTCTCGCTCCTGGTTACTACTGAACCTAACTGGGGCTAACTGGATGGTGATGGGAGACGCAGAAAGGACACAGGATAGGCAAACAGAAAGTTGGGGCCAGGTGTATTGGGCGCTCAGGTGGAGACACATAACCTCCATTGCTTCTTTTCTCTATTATTCTCTTCGTTTACTCTGCTTCTTTTCTCTGTCTTTATTCTTTAAGGCCTTACTCTTTTACAGTTCTTTAAAACTTTGCTTCTAAAGTCTTTCCTTAAAACCTTACTTTTAAAGTCTTCTGTTTTTTAAAGTCTCTTTCCTTAGACTCACACAGTCCCACGTTTTCTCTTAGCTGTTCTTCAGCATAATCTCTCTTAAAGTCTTTGCCTCTAGACTTGCACTGTCCCATGCTCTCTTTAGCTTTTCTTTAGCTTAGCTTTTCTAAAGCCTATGTATAAAGTTCTCAGTGCAGACTTTCTATCAACTCCTCTTCAGCAATTCCCCTTTGGCAACTCCCTTTCAGCAATTCTTCTTCAGCAATTCTTTTCCCTTCAGCAATCTTCCTCCAGCACTTTCTCTTCAGCAATTCATTTTCCCCCTTCAACAATTCTTTCCTTCAACAACTCTTTTCCCTTCAGCAATCCTTTTCCCTTCCAAAGCCTCCCACATCAAAAAGCCAACAGCCAAAAGCCAAAAGCCAAAAACCTCCCAGCCAAAAAACCTCTGACTTTCACTGTAGAATTCTTGGTGCAGGAAGCTGGGAGACACACACCAGCCATCAGCAGCATCAGCATTTCACCTGTGTCCTCCTTCAGCAAGTCTTTTCTACCCAGTGGTAAACAAGGAGGTGGAGCAACAGCTCTCAGGGAGGGGCATGACACTGTAACAATAGAAACCTGTGATCTACCTCTCTGAACTTAAACAACCTAGGAAAAGCAGCTGTTTTGCATTTTCCTCTTCTGTGGCTTGGGCTGTGCCAATCTCACCCTACAAAACATCTTAGGAAAAGCAGTCTTTTCTTGCCTTATTCTGTGGCCAGGGCTGTGCCAAACTCAGCCTACAGAACATTGGGTACAGCTGTGCTAATATCCTCATAGGCTTCTCATAATCTGCTCTCCACACAATGAGGGTGCCACTGTAATGGTTTTGCCTAATTTGAAGTAACAGGTGAAGAGTTAGAAAATGTAGCAAAATGATGGATGGAGATGGTGACTAATTCATCATTTATGATTTATATCAGAAAAAATGGACTTCTGTAACCAAATGGACGATTAAGAAACTTGTATTGATATTCAAAAGACAAAAAACAATAGATAAGTCATCACACAGCTTCTTTTCACAATGCCACATACTAAATCCTGTTGGATTTATTTTTAAAGAAATTCCTATCATACCTTTAGAGGAGATGGTTAATAGTGCAGATAAAATTAAGGGCAAAAAATAAGGTCAGTCTTCCCCTCAACATTGATTTTTATGATTTAATTATTATGGTAAATAATATACTACTGATTTTATGATTCAAATATTATGGTGAATAATATAAGTACCTATGTTCACTCGAGTTTGAATTGCTCAGCTAGAACATCAATGTTCTTAAACCCAAGGAGATGACTGATGTCTTTTACCAGAAAAAAACATGTTCTAGTGACCACATAACAATGGGTCCAAATATCACCTTATAAATTCTCAGACTCTGTCTATAGAAACCCCAATTCCATTTGGAAATATGTCACAATGGTTATGGTGAGCCTGTAGAGCTAAAGAGCACAGCCTGGCTGCATTTGTGGCCCTCTGACCTCATCACGGTATCTAACACAATGGGACACAGAATAAAAGACAATCATACAGCCAAGGGGCTGTTGTATGATTCCTTTCCTCCCTCCCTCCCTTCTTTCCTTTCTCTGTTCCTCTCTTCTTTTCATTCTTTTTTGGTGGGATTGGGGTTTGAACTCAGGGCTTCGTGAGTGCAAAGCAGATGCCCTACCACTTGAGCCACACATCCAGTGCATTTTGCTCTGGTTATTTTGAAGATGAGGTCTCGTGAACGGTTTGCCCAGGCTGGCCTCAAACGGCAGTGTTGCCAATCGCAGCCTCCCAAGTAGATAGGATTATAGGTGTGAGCCACCAGCACCCAGCATGCCCAGGGCTTTCTTTAGAACTGAAATCACTCCCAAAGTTCAAGATGTCCTTAAGGTAATCCTAATCCCTTAGTTTTTCAGAGATAAAACTTAGAAAGGGAGAGAAAAGCATAAGAAGTAAGCAATCTGTCTTTGGGTCCATGTCCAGCCTTGAAGACAAGTTGGAAGAGGAAGAAGGCAGCTGAAAATGGAAGATGTTGCTTTACTGGGTCCCACTAGCACCCAGTGTCTGTGCTAGCCAGAGACTAAGGGACAGAGGAATGTCTATGATTGCTCTACCTGAGGACCTTGCTCAGTGCTGGGGTCGAGGGGACTCCCCACTATGCGCCTCTTGGCTCGCTCCACACTTCTTCTCACGAACTCCTCATAGATGGACTCCTCCACAAAGATGCGAGATCCTGCAGTGCAGCACTGGCCTTGGTTGAAGAACACACCCTGGTGAGCCTGCTCCACGGCGAAGTCCACTGCAGAAGAAAACAAGCATGTTCTCAATGCCGCTTTGCCTGGGGTGGTGCATTCCATGGAGTCACCTCCCTTCCATCCCCAAAGCCTGAGGTATAATGTCCTTGTTGTGAAAGAGCATAACAGCAAATGGCTTTGACCTAAGAACACCACTTGTCTTAGTTCTAACTAGGCCCTGACATTATGTGAACTTGGACAACTTCACTTTTTTTGAGTTTCTTTCTTATTTTGTAACCAGGGAGTAGGGGTGGGGAGGCAGTTTAGATCATGCCATCTATCATGGGAGTCTCAAATTCCACTTTGCAAAGGGTTAGGCAGATGTGCCAGGTGGTCAAGCATTATGACAGAGAATAAGAAAAGAAGCCACTAGAGATGGCTGCAATCGTGCATGAATAGAAGCCCACGGTTTGCCAGATCTTTCCAAGTTAAGGAAAATCAGAAACCATCATTTTAACGTGCAATTTTTGTTTAGACAAGTAAACATGAGTACTCTGCATTTTGTCTGCGGGCTGCTAATTCATGGCCCCTAGTGTACAGGGTCTTATAACTGTATGTTTCATTAGCACTTCAGTGTTTAAACTGTTAACACCACCTATCTTCTTTGAAGATGCTAAATTTCCTCTATATGGACATGGAATTGTATGCAGTATATGATAATCCTTTCATTTTCAACTTCTGTTTTACCCTTCAAGATAATATTGACAAATCTGGTTTGTGCTAATTGCTAAATGACTGACTGAACTAATGGTGTGACAATGGAAGGCCTCCTCCTGAACAGGGATGGGTACAAGTTCTGACCTTGACAACCAATATAAAGCTAATGCTGAACCCCACAAACCCCAAGCTGGGGCTGCAGTCCAACAATCTGCTTTGTCTTTTCTGATTTCTCCAGTGGTGGAATTGGGAAAGCAGCTCTTCCTGGAGAATGTGAGGAAGAAAAGGAATAGCTGAATGAGATTTTGGAATTTCATTCCCGGGAGACCCCTTAAGACAGAAGGAGAAACCTGCCCACCAGGGATTAGGTGGCCTTCTTCCTGGAGACATGGGGCTCCCTAGGATACTGCTCTAAGCTTCTGAATAGCCCTCCTGATAAAATCTATCCACACAGAACTGCCCAAGTGAGTTGTTGTCTTAGTTGTAAGTCCTGGGAATAGCAGAAAAGAGATGGAATGACTAACTGGGAAAAGGTGTTGTGGGTTTGAGAAAATTCTAGTGAGATAGGATTTATTTGTAATCATCTACCATTGCCAGGCCCAGGTGAGAAGCTTGTGGTTTCATGAGAAGTTTGAGGTTTCTTGAATCTAGGCAGCGAGTACATTTCAGGTGTCCGGAGGCTTAGAACCTCCTTCCACTACATACCACTGACCAACCTTCACCCTTACCCTATCCTACATCACAGAATCCAAATGGCTTGTTAGTGTCTAGAAAACAAACTCTGGTCAGTAGTCAATGAAAAGTGCTCTTTTCCCCAAATTAAACTATTTTCTCCTCAGAAGGGTATCTGGATTTGCTTTAACTACAAAGATTTTTCTCTGTGGCCTAAAGAGTAGATAAAGAAAAGAGGGCACCAAAGGGTGGTGTGCTGGGACACACATGAAGTCTGGGGTTGACTTACAATCAGCATCTGCAAAAATAATATTGGGGCTTTTTCCTCCAAGTTCCAGAGTTACTCTCTTCAGATTACTTCTTCCAGCTGCTTCTTGGATAAGCTTTCCAACCTGAAAAGAAGTGAATGGAAGGGGAAAGATTTTGCACACCTTGCAGTTGGGAGAGTAAGTGGCCAAAGTCAGCTATGGGCAACGATGGGACATAGGATAACTGATCCTAAAGGGCAAAAGATCCTACTGAATGACACTGGGACAGCTGTTGTGGTCTATATGGGTGGACAAGATAGAAAGCCTTGGGATGCAGCCGAATGCCCATGCGGAAGTGAATTGAAGGACTGTGTTCAATTGATCATGGAAGGTGCAAGGCAATGCAGTTAAATCTGATCTCTCAATCCCAAAAGATTTCTCTAATGGTAAGTGGCAAACAAAATGTGACTTGAAATTTCGACACTGTACTGTGACTTTTGGGACTCTGGTCTCCAGAAACAAAGAAAAATAAAAAGCCAATTGGCTGCACGTAGAAGACTTGATGAGGGTAAAATAAAGTATTCATGTACCTCCAAATATGCCAGGTATGGTTTTTATCTCATCGTCCAGAGGCACAATCAATAACTATACCTTTGCCTCTGTCTAGAGCTATGGAGGAAGAATTCCAGATAGTTGAGAGTCTGTTTCCACTTGTGCAATATTGTAAGAGCCTACTTATCTGGAATCCAAATGAAGAAGCTGGGTGGGGAGAAAGCATTTGCCTCAGTGGTGGGGAGTGCTGTCAGAAGGGAGCCTGCAGCTGCTAGCTCCTTCAAAGTCTGCCTCATCTGAAAAGTGTTCTCTGTCCAAGGACATACCCACTCTGGGTGGCCCATATCCACACATGATGGTGTCAGGAGGATAAAGACCCTGCTCTTTCAGCCTGGAACAGGACCCCATGGAGACAACATAAGCTCCACCAGACTCAGGTGCTTGACTGGCCAAAGCAACGTCAGGCTTGCACTGAAGTATGACCTCCCCTCAGCAGGGATCCCTAATAAAACCCTACATGCCAAACTCCATATCTGCAACCACTTGGAGATCATCAGCCTATAACAGGGTGCTGGAGGGTGGAGGCCACTATGCGGACAATGTCAAGCCACCACAGAGCCTATGCAGGCAATTTGGTCTTGTGGAGATGGAAAAAAATGTTACTTGTGTCTGAAATACTACTGAAATTTAAATATTTAATATTTAAACTTAAATATTTGAAAGCCTGCAAAAGAGAACTGCTACATTCATGTTTGGTTCTTCCAGATGCTCACTGGGATTCTGCAGTAGGACCAATGAGCTCTTAGTGGGGAAGCAAAGTTAAGAGAGAAGGTCCTGGAACCAGACTGCTTGGAGCTGTTTTTCTTTCTTTCTTTCTTTTTGGCAATACTAGGGTTTGAACTCAGGGCTTATAACTTGCTGGGCAGGTGTTTGTTCTACCACCAACCCTTTTGGCTCTGGTTATTTTAGATAGGTTCTTGCTTTTTGCCTAGGCTGGCCTGTACCATGCTTCCCACCATCACTGGAATGATAGGCACAAGCCACCACGTCCAGTCACCCCGCCCCCCACTTGCCTTAAACTGTGATCCTCCAGAGCGAAACCTCTCAAATAGCTAGGATTACAGGTGTGAGCCACTGGTCCCCTGGCAGCTCGGAACTCTTTTTACTGACTCTGTCGCTTACCAACTGTTTGACTTTGGGAAATTTATTTAACTACTACTTTGAGCCTTGGTTTCCTCCTCTGTAAATGGGGATAAAAAACTGTACGTACCTTAGAATTTAGATGACCTGAGGATTATAAGTGACAACACAGTTGGCAAACAATAAGTGACCATACATGCTAACCATGGGCAAGCATGAGAAGCTAGGGCCCCTCTTTTTTCAAGTTCAATGGAGAGAAATCCAAATAACTGTAAGGCGAAGTACTACAGAACCTTCCAAAGTAGGTCTCCAGAGGTCCAAAACCATAGATTTACATATTAATTCCTTCAGGAAAATGTTGGGAAACTCTGACTTCCCCTCAGTGACCATGCTACTCATTGGCTGGGTGAAATGCTTTTGTGTTTTCACAGTAATTCTACCTAGCTATAAAATTTTTTAAAAGAAAGAACTTCGTTCTGCAGAAACTTGATTTTGAGGGGGAAGTGATGCCTCTGAAAGAGGTAGAATTAGTTTCTAGTTTTGCAGAAAAATGTTAGCAAGGTGTTAGAAAATGCCAATATCTGTCCCTAAAGACTAATGGCCAACTTGGGCTCACCAGCCAAATTGTCCCTTCTCTATCCTCACCAGCCTGGTGAGGCTAGAAGTTAATGAACATGACCAGGTTACCCCACTGGTCAATGGCAAACCTGTTGGACTCTATGCAGGCTGACTCTAGGGCCTGAGCCTGGGGTCACTCCTTCTTTCCTTCCTTCTCCCCACGTTCTGTCTTCCTTTCTGCATCCCTTGCTGGCTACTGAGTACCTAGTATGTGTCACACCAAATCTTATCCCTGCACTCTGAGAGGAAAGGAAGCAGGAATATCACAAATCATGTTAACCAATCATCAGTTATGAAACCTATATTATACCTCCAGATTTCCATTTAAGAAACAAGCAAAAGCAAGCAAACCATGGGTTTTGTATGGAGTAAGATGCTAGATAAGTATTTGGAGTAGGTGAAGAGAGTGCTGGCCCAGCTGGCATCACTTTCCTCTTAGCTATATATACTCCAACATTCATCACACTATTCTATGGGTCAATTATTATTTTTTTGCTACCAGAAATGTTGCCCAGTGATTATTTTCATGGCTACAGTAACTACAGAAAGTCTCACTCAATCCATGATCGTTACAGAAGAGTATCTAAGAATAATATTTCCCGTGTCGAGCTTTGCCAGCTCTTCCTTAGAAACCAAATTTACGCTAAACTCTGCAAGACAAATCTCAGATGAATAATGCCTTTCCTTTCCATCTCTGGAAGAAGGTCAAGTTATCATTCAGTCTCAGAGAACTGGATACGTTAGGCCATGGGAGAACCACTCCCATCCGGAATGGTCTCAGGATAGAACTCTCCTGAAAATGCCAGTTTTCATGAATCTCCTTCATGCAACACATATCCATAGTCCTACCATGTGCTAAGCACAATGTCAGCTTTAATCAACAGGGAACTCACAACTAGGACTACCACGTAAACCTAGCAGGTAATCAACAATTGTGGATGGTTTCGTGATCCACTTAGAAAAAAATCTGGGTCTAATTTAATATTAGCTCCAAAGAGGTGACAATTCTGTAGGACTTGACTATAACCCAGAGCCAGACCATTCTGTTCCTTACCTATAGAATTGTCCAGGATGCAACAGCCTCCATAAATTACAGGGTCAGGCATCATATGCCTTACCAAGCTTTTAGGCTTAACAATCTTTAGAAAATATATTACTACTCAGGAATTCTCCCTGAGAGTGGATGGGGGTTAAGTGACTCCAAGCAGGAAGCACTCCTCATTATCATTACCATGAAGGGGAAAAGAATGTATATAACTCCAAAGCAGAGGATTCTTAACAGGCAAAAGTAGTATATACTCAACCAGAGAGTTCAGTGAGAACCACTTCTAACACATTTGCTTACAAAATATGATAGGTCCTATTAAAAGTAAGCTAAAGTATTATTTGTACAAATCCTATGCAAAAGTCGCCAAAGTGAAAATTCACAGGATTCAAAAATCAAAGAAAGAATATATTATAAACAAAGCTTTGTTTTATGTTTATAATAAAACAAAGCTTTGTTTTATGTTTATAATATATTCTTTCTTTGATTTTTGATGGAAAGGATCAGGTGTGGATTGTCAGGGTCATGTGCAACCCAGTCATATCAGACCCCTTCCTATGTGACCAGAATGTAGGAGTGCATGGTGAGATAAAGGAAGCTTAAAGGTCAAGTTCTTGAGAAACTTCATGAAAGCCAGGCATATTCTAATGAAACAGGCAATCTGTATGATAAAGTAGGTAAATATAAAATAGGTAAGTCCTGTTTTATGGCATGAATATCAATTATAAGATAAAGGCCTACACGCCCAATTTGGAGTTTATCATCTTTTCTTCTAATCAGAAAATGTTTCACAATGTCCTTCTATTATTCCTCCCATCCCATCACTGACGACCTGGCTAAGTACAACCACATGTAGGTTTATGGATTACCGTTTGGCCCACATAGGTCAGGAGACGTAGGCACCACAAACTCTGGCTTGGCTCCTAAGGAACCTTCAACTGGGGAAAGCTACTTCCCTCCCCTGGGTCTCAGCTTCATGATTTGCAGAATGAAAGCACAGACCAAGCAGCAAATGTATCCCTTAATTGGAGGAGTTACAAAGGACAGATGGGACTCCTGGGGTCTGTGCTCACTCTGAAAAGTCCATCTCAATTCTTCTGTGTTTGTCTTGCCTTGAAGAGCAGAAGTAGCTTTTCCCAAGAGCACCACAGCTGCTCAGAATTGCAGAAGACCTGCTCTGTTTATAGTTTCCCCACACACAGCTCATTATGAAAGAGTAAGTGATAGCGTTCCTATCGTGTGGTTTCTTAACTTTGCACTCCCTGCAGAGACTCAGCTCTGTGGACCCCAAACAGGCAAGAGTGGTGAACTAGGGGCTCCCACACACATATGAAACTGGGCTAATTCTCAGCAGGAATGTTGGCACAGACCAACTCTGCCTCCCATCTTCGTTTGAAAAGGCTTCAAGATTGATATCAGGAGTAGCCCTGGAAGAGCACAGTGAGCCGGAATCATGTACATGGCAAGGCAGCCATGCAGGGGAAGGCAATTTGGCTCCTTGCGAGGAAAATAATTTGTTATATGGACAAAAAAACACAAAGGGCTTTTTATGCCTTCTTTATTCAAGGCAGGTGCTCCCTGAACAAAGTTTCTAAAGTTAGGTAAAATTTTTCTTTTTATTAATTAATTACCCAAATTAGGATAGATTCCTGTTCAGAGGTAGAATGTCTTTTTAGAAACAGAAAAGAAATCTCTACTAAAGACTTCAGTAAACTGGCCGAAGGTGCCTGCATTCTGCAGTATATTTTCATTTCTTAAACTAAACTCCAAACTGACAAACTTTATGCTT